GCCACTCCTGACCCCGCAGGCGCCTCCAGACCTGGTGCACAGTTCGGGGGCCCATGTTATACTCCTGATTGATCCATGCCCACGAGGGAAGGCATTTCTCTTCCCGCCAGCGCCAGAGCCGCAGAATTGCCTCCTTGTCCGCCGCCTCGAACGTGAAGCTCTCCGAGGTCGCCTCCACCTCCCACTTGGCCGCCTCCCACTTCTCCCCCACGCCCACGGGCCCCGCCGCGGGCCGCCGTCTCACCACCAGGTACTGGGACCGGTGGATTTGTCCGGGGCCCACCAGCTGGGGGTGGCCTTGGTACTCCCTGACGCGGACCCGGTGGCACCGCAACAAGTCGCCCGCGCCCTGGACCGGGGGGAAAAGCTCGGGCGCAGGCCGGAAGACGTTGCAGACCACCCCCATGTCCGCCTCTGTCATGGTCTCGTCCACCAAGAGGAAGCTTTGCGAGAAGTCCGTGCCGTTCGTGGGCCTCGGGGCGCCCATGGAGCCCACCATCGCCCACACGTTCACCTCCTTCCCCAGGTCCTGCCCCAAGACCAGCTCCCCGCACCGCCTGTACTCGTACCTCCGCATTTGCAAAATTGCGCCTCGTCTGGCATGCTCGTCCTTCCCTCTCTCACCTCCAACATTTTGCACACGTCCCTGAACGCCGGCACTCCCTCTCCGCCCCCCGCATGCCAACTTGTACGCCTCTGCACGAGCGTCAAGCGTGTTCTGGTCGAGCTCCAGGTCCAACGTGAGCTCCGGACCTTTTTCATGGGTCAAAACAAGCTTTATCCGAGGGGTATTCGTGTGAGATGCTCCCAGTAGCACGGGCGGGGCGACAACTAAGGCACAGCCGTGATCCCCCGTTGGCACCGCCCGGACCATCTCGCCAGGCCCTGTGAGAGAGAGCAGGCAATTGTTTTCGAGGCAGTCTCCGATCTCTTCCGCCCACTTATCGTAGAAGAACACACGAATGCGATTACTGGGCCTCCCATTTCCATCTGCCCCGTGCAAGGTGCAGCTGACTACTGTCGTTGCCATGGAGGCCAGAGGTCCGTTGTCGAGCGGCCCTCCTAAAAGTCCTGCGGTACCCCCGCTCACGCCTTCCTCGTCCCGAATACACGCCCGCAGTCCTTGCATGACATGTACTTTCCCCTGAACATTAAGAAGCTCTGTGGTGGCAAGATTTATTGATGCTATACAGGTTGCGACGCCTTGAGTGTTTTTTGCACGGAGCATACCATCCCGTTTGCCATCTGCGTCATGGCCACCGACTACGTACTGGAGTTGTGCAGCGCCAGACATATGTCTTGCCTTCCTTCGTGTCAATAAATTGTAATAATGCGAGCGGATGAGTTTTGACCGGAGGAAGTTAGCATTGGGGTTTCTCCTTCGAGGCCAGCCTTATGCCCTGCTAGCGAAAGCCCTGCTCGCCCATGAGGACAAGGTACACAGGGCCGGACGTGCAATAGCCTAGGGGATGCTGTGTGCATGCCTGGCATCATGCCATTCATTTCACAAAAGCCTACCTTCCATTGTACACGCACGTCACAGCCCAGCGAGACAGTTTGCAGGCCCTTGTCTGAGAACTATGGCTTGTTCGTCGCCACCTCCCAACTCGGCAACTACTTCTGTCGGGTCTCCTTGCACACACCAAGCCTCTAAAAAAGCACGCTTGCTTCTTCAGGACCCTGTAGGTAAACTTCGTGCCTTACCTACTATTCGAGAGCGATGTCAGCAAATTTATGCCGCCGGTCAACGTGGCGAGCTGAAGCATTTCGCGCTGCACGAAGATAAGATTGGGGAGGTAGTTGACTACGTGCAGTCCGTGATAGAAGAACGCTTTCCTGGCGGCATGGACATGGTGCCGAATCACTCACGATACCGTCATTTCGAGCCAGGAAATGTGGACCGTCTTAGCCAGCTCCGCAGTGCTTGTAAAGACGTGGACAAGCGAGAGGTTGCCCGCAGGCTGGTCGACCTCGTTGTGGTTAGCGTCTTGCTGGACGCGGGGGCCGGAGACAAGTGGAAGTACGTGGAGAAGGAAACGGGATTGACGATCGATCGGTCAGAGGGTTTGGGTGTGGCCAGCTTCCGCATGTTCATGGACGGGGCGTTCTCGAGCGATGCGGAGCAGGCGAAGGGGAAAAGACTGCAGGCAGACGCCGTGGGTCTCCAGGCCCTTACAAGCCAGCGCGTACGTGAGGGCTTTCAAGTCAAGGAAGACAGCAACCCTTTGGTGGGTACAGAGGGCCGGGCCGCCTTGTTGCGACGGCTGGGGAAGGCGTTGGAGGAACACCCGGAGTTCTTCTCGTCGAGACTAGCAAGTAAGGGGGCGGACGAGGACGGGGGGGCGGAGAGCTTCCGTCCGGGCTACCTTGTCGACTACCTCTTTGCCCAAGCCAATCCAGGAACGGATCCCGCCTCAGTGCCGGTACACGACCTGTGGCGCGTGGTCATGGACGGGCTGGAGTCCATATGGCCGGCGGGTCGAACGTCGGTGGGGGGCCGGCCAATGGGGGACGTGTGGCCTCACAGTGCCCTGGCCCTGGGGGGTAAGGTGGCCGAGGAGGGGGACGGCGGGCTGGGCGAGGAAAAGGAAGCGGGCGCTTGCCTGGTCCCATTCCACAAGCTGTCCCAGTGGCTGACGTACTCCCTAATGGAGCCCCTGGCCGAGGCCGGGCTGGCACTGACGGAGACGAGGCACATGACGGGCCTCCCGGAGTACCGGAACGGCGGGCTATTTGTGGACCTGGGCGTGCTCGAGGCGAAGAGACCGGAGCTGCTGGACCCTGCCGGGCATGCGCCGGGGTCGGAGGTGATCGTAGAGTGGCGGGCCCTGACTGTGGTGCTGCTGGACGAGGTGGCCCGGCGGCTGCGGGAAAAGTTGGGGGCCTCGGAGAAGAGCTTGCCCCTGGTGAAGGTCCTAGAGGGGGGGACATGGACGGCGGGGAGGAAGATAGCCAGAGAAAAGAGGCCAGACTCATGCGGGCCCCCCATTGTGATCGTCAGTGACGGAACCGTGTTTTAAGAGGGGGCACACGGGGGGTAGACGAGGAAGAGGGGGGCGGTCCGGGGTAAGCCGGACAACATGACGACGACGGACATGCAGAAAGAGCGACACAGGAAAGAGGTAGCCATGTAAAGGGTGTGAGATGTGAGATTTTCTTTTTTTTTAAAAATGATGGTATGACTAATCCTTCGCTTTTCTGTACGCGCTTGAGCACTCGTGAGTCTGTAACATGTGTCGTGCGGGCCCTCTCGGCTCCCCAGTTTCCGATCTAACCATCAGGGTTCTCGTCATTCTGTACATTCTTTGAGCCTGTCAGGATCCTCATTCCTTCCTTGTATTCCTCCCTGCTGGAGAAGGAGAGAGCTTCTGCTTCTCCCCCCGCCAACCCCTCTGTCAATCGACAGCCACCATCCACCACGATACTCAGCTAGACCTTCAGCGCACCCTGCTCTCCACGGCTTGTTCGACTCACAACCTGCAATGGGTGCTCTTTTCCTCCAGCCTCTAGTTGCCCGGGCCCCGCAAGCCAGTGGCCCGGAAGGGCCAGGCATTCCGCAAGTACCCGTTGTCCTGGTCCTGCTGGGTGTCAGGCGTCTTTAGGATGTGCGCAAGGTCGTCGGCGCATTGCGGATTGGGGGGGGCGCCATGGCGAACACAGACCATGTCGGTGGCCTTCTCGTAGGTGAATTTGGAGGGGTTGGGTTGCACCTTCCCCAGGAGGGCCATCTTCCGCTCGTCGAAATGCGACCAGTCCTGAGACATGAGGCCTTAGAAAAGGAATGAGGGGAAAGAGTTAGAAACAAGAGTGCGTCTCCTCTCTGACCAGCCGCCTCGCCCGTACCGTCTGTGTCTGCCGAGCCCGGATTCAGAGCCCACCAGAAGTTGGACTGGAAGCAGTTGTCGATCATCCATTGCGCCAAATGCTCCTGGACGATGCCGTCCTTGTTGTTGCAGCTGCCGCCCCACTCACCCACCACCAGGGCCTTGCGCGTGCTCTTGATGAGCCAGCCGAATTGGTTATCCCAGACCTGCGGGAAGAGATAGGCGAGCAGAGAAGCAGGCGCATGAGGATGACATCTCGCTGGGCTGGAGCTCCGACCCTGAGCAAAACGAGCTCCTCAGGACACTCAGCAAGACCTTTCCGTCCCATTTTTCACGCCAGCCCTTGCCTTCGACTCACGTTTTTCAAGTTGTTGGGAAAGCTCCAGTCGTTGAAGTAGAACATGTTGGAGACGTCGGGACCATAGATGTGAGGGGCGTAGACGATACGGTCGTTCAAGGCGGCAATTTTCACGTCGATGGGGTACTTGTCAGCGCCGAAGAGGTTTCCGCCCCACCAGTAGGGCCAGGGACTCTGGTCGCGGCCCATGGCGTTGAGGAAGATCTGCGGGTAGGGGGAGAGGGGGGAGAGGAGCACAATGCACATATGAGGGAAGAGGGCAAGGAGCGAAAAGGCTGTCTTTCTAGTCCTTGTCACCCACCCCCTCCACAAAGAAAAGCCCGCGGTAGCTCGGCACCCGCTCGTGGACGAAGAGGATGAAACGCTCGACGTAGCGGTTGAAGTCGGTCATGGGGTCGCCCTTCCCCCAGGAAGCGTGGTCGTGGCATTCGTTCATGATGTCCAGCCCGAACAGATTCCAGTGGTGCACGTAGCGTGACAGGATTCGCTCTGATAATGTGAAATTGTTTGTGTGAGTTGCTCGCTTTTATTTCTATCTTGAGTCGTGCGTTCCCCCTCTCTCGCCCCATTCTTCCCTCTCTTCCTCTTCTCCTTTAGCCGCCCCCCCCCCTCTCCTCCTC